CTGTCCCTCAGCTCTTCAGCTCAAGGCTAGCACTCTACCACTTGAGTAACAGCGCCACTTCCAGCTTTTTTCTTTGTGCTTATGTGGTGCTGAGGAATCGAACCCAGGGCCTCAGGCATGCAAGGCAATCGCTCTACCACTGAGCCAACTTCCCAGCCCTTCCATGAGATTCTTATCTCCAATTAACCACCAGAAAACTGGAAGTGGTGCTGTGGCTCAAGTAGTAGAGCACTCACCTTGAGCTGAAGAGCTGAAAGACAGCACCCTGACTTCAAGACCCATGACAGAAAAAAAGCATAACTTTGGGAAATGTAGGTGGAAGCCTCAATTAGTGAAATAACTAAGTGATACTGTTAAAGGAATAATACCTTCATTATTTTCAAATGGCAAGAAAAATGAGTGTCAGGTGTATTATGGAGGTGAACCCAGGTTTGGAAACCTTGCAATTACCCATTTAGCCCCTAGATGGCATTCTTACATCATTTACAGGAAAGAAGGTGAACTAATTTGACATAAAGAGAAAACTTATTAATGATGATTAGCAAGTAAGATTGAAGTCTGGACACATAGATGAGTATACTAGCAACATAGTAGAATACACAATGTGTGTCCTAGTAGAAACTCGAAGAAAGTCTTGTTTTAACAATCAGATTTTTCTTTTTTTTCTTTTCTAGTACTGAGGATCAAACCTAGGGCTTTATAGGTACCTTATAGGCTGAGCTGCATCTCAACCCCCAAATAGACTTTTTAAACTAGATTACCAGATGTTTACAATAAATGAAAGCGGTCTACCCTTAATGGATCAAACACAATCATAATTTACCAGTTCCTTTCTTTATCAAGAGGCAAAAGGCATACCTTAACCAGCCCTACCCCTAAAATACATGGTGCTGACATTCATGAAATTTTCTGTTATGCTTGTACGATGTAGAAATATTGAAGCACCTGAGCAATACTGGAGTCAGAAGAGATCCGTCGGGTAGGGATGGAATGGACTTCCTCCTGTGGTTTCTCTGGCCCAGTTGCACTCCTCACTGAAGAGCCTGAAAAAAAGAACATCCCCAAGCAGCTATTTATAATGGGCTGGTTGGTCTCAATTGAAGACAGTCCGCCAGAAGTAATTCAAACAGCACATTTATCATCACTATGGGCACTTTAGTTCAAATCTTAGTTCTGAATCTACCAGCTCTGTAACTCTGGGCAAGTTACCTAACCCCCTCAGAACCTCAGTTTTCTTCCTTGCCAAAGGGGCTAAATACTGCCTACTTTTGGCAGTTTCTATAAATATGAAATAATGCCCTTAAGATGCTTACCATAGTGCTGGAGACAACACTGAATACAGGAAAACTGCTAATACCACATTTAGATAATGGTAATAGGAATGAGCACAGCCCCCAGCCCAAGGCAGCACCTCCCCTGACTTCCTCTTTGCTGCTTAGAAGAGAGCATTTCTCTGACTAGCAGGTTATGGATGTGAAAACCAATTAAACATTCACTTGATTTCCAGCCAGAAACTTCCCAGGAATTACTGTCATTCAGAATCTTCTGCTCTCTTTTCTAATATCCTCTTTCTCCAGTGACATATATTCCAGACTCAATAGTCTATGATAATTTTCTAAAAGGTTTATCTAAGAAACTTTTGCCAGTCCCTGGGGCTTGAACTTAGGCCTGAGCACTGTCCCTGAGCTTCTTTTGCTCAAGGCTAGCACTCTTCCACTTGAGCCACATTGCCACTTCCAGCTTTTTCTGCTTATGTGGTACTGAGGAATCGAACCCAGGGCTTCATGCATGCTAGGCAAGCACTCTGTCACTAAGCCATATTACCAGCCCCCAAATTTTTTTACATCTCCCAAATCAATTCCCCCAATGGGGTATTGCCTTCTGAAAGTTTACATAACTCACAAGCAGAACCAGTGCTTATGACCATGAGCCAAACTATCACCTGTCATTTCGATGGGGGAAAAAAAAAGAGGCCAACTTCACCTGAAGGGGACATCTCTTCCTGTAACTGCTTTAGCCGTCTCCTCTCTCTGGCTGATAATGGTCGATCCTTTTAAAGAAAGTCACAGAGTCATTTCCATTCCTACTCACTATTCTTTCTTCCTTCCTTCCCTTCCTCCCCTCCTTCCCTGCCTCCCTTCCTTTATCTTGCTTGCTTGCTTTCTCCTAAAGCTTGAACTCTGGGTCTGAACTGTCCCTGAGCTCCTTTTCCTCAAGCCTAGCAATCTACCACTTGAGCCACAGTGCCACTTCCAGCTTTTTCTGTGATTTAATTGGACATAAGAGTCTCACAGACTTTCCTGCCTACTTTCCTACCCAGGCTGGCTTCAAACCTCAGATTTCAGCTTCCTAAGGAGCTAGGATTACAGGCATGAGCCACCAGAGCCTGGCTCCTATTCATTATTCTTGTAAAAGTACAATCTATCATCCAACAATACATAAAGATCTTATACTAGCCTGTAAAGGAATGTTCATACCAGGGTTACTGCTACTAGAAAGGGACAATCACAGACCCGGTTTTTGCAAAATGCTCATTTTTTGAAAGGCAAAAGGGACTGCATTCCTTTTTAGGGGAAACTGGGAGACAAATACCAGGGTTTTGAACTCAAGGACCTTTTGCTTGCTAGGTTGGTGTTCTATCACTCAAGCCATGCCTGTAGGCTTGTTTTTAAATTGATTTTTGGGGGGGAGTCATGGGACTTGAACTCTGGGTCTGGGTGCTGTCCCTCAGTTCTTCAACTCAAGGCAAGTGCTCTACCAACTAAGCCACAGTACCATTTCCAGTTTTCTGGTGGTTAACTGGAGATAAGAGTCTCACGGACTTTCCTGCCTGGGCTGGCTTTGAACTGTGATCTTCCGATCTCAGTCTCCTGAGTAGCTAGGATTATAGGTGTGAGCTACCAGTGCCTGGATAAACTGGTTATTTTTATGATCAGGTTTCACCTCCTGCTCATACAAGCATCTCAACTGCAATCCACCTACTTAGACTTCCTGTTGTTTCTGGGATCATAGGCATGTGCCACTTTGTCAAGCTTCCCCCTGCAGAGGTGAGTGTCAGAGATTTTTCTGCTCAAATTGGACTCATCTGAGATCCTCCCAATATCAGCCTCCGATATAGCTTAGGGCAATAGGTATGTACCACCACACCCAGGAATAGGTTGAAAAGGAGCTACATGAACTTTTCTGGCCAGGCTGGCCTCAATCTCTATGGTCACCATTATTCCCATGCACATAGGATTACACATGAGTACCTGCTCTTACTTTTTTCATTTCTTATACAAAATCTACTTGATTGTCTTAACTAACACAAAGTGATCATCTCTGGAACCACAGAATCTATGTGTTGCAATCAAACCTTCTACTGTGAAATACAACTTAGTCCCTTCTAGTGTTCAGCAAAAAGAGCAGGACTGACATTGTTTTTCCTGAGCTGTTTTAATATAACACTTAACAGCATACACAAGATTTTATAACCAAAAAGCTTTATAAGAAGCTTTAAAAAAAAAAAAAAACAACATAGTAGCCAGGCGTTGGTGGCTCATACCTGTAATCCTAGCTACTCAGGAAGCTGAGATCTGAGGATCTCGATTCAAAGCCAGCCCTGGCAGGAAAGTCTTTAAGACTCTTATCTCCAATAAACCACCAGAAAACGGGAAGTGGCGCTGTAGGTCAAGTGGTAGAGCACTTGCCTTGAGCTGAAGAGCTGAGGGACAGTGCCCAGGCCCAGAGCTCAAGCCCCATGACCAATCCAAAAAAAAAAAAAAAACAACAACATAAGAGCTAGGCATGGTGTCAATGCCAGTAAATGTAGCACTCAGGAGGCTGAAGCAGGAGGATCTCAACCTATAACAACCTGGGTTATATGAAGAAATTGTGTCTCAACAAAACAAGACATATTCTGTCTCTCTGTCTCTCTCTCTCTCTCTCTCCTCCTCTCTCTCTCTCTCTCTCTCTCACACACACACACACACACATACACTCACAAACCTTTGATGATGATATCTCACTGTTTGTAGAACGGCTCACAGACTCACTGGCTAGTCTACTTTGGTTTTCAACGTTTCGTGTTGATATGACATTCACTTTTCCAAAAGTAGGATGAGAGGGCAAAAACTGAAGAGGTGCTTCTTTTAACTTAAATAATTTAAAAAGGAGGGGAGATTGTCAGTTTCATATATAGCCATTTCCAAATTTGCCAGCCCCCTGAGTATTTGTTAGTGATTTGTCCCTAAAAACTTCAAAACAGTGTGTGTGTGTGTGTGTGTGTGTGTGTGTGTGTGTGTGTGTGTAATAAAGAGACTGCCAAAGGTGAATGGTCCTTTAAGATCTCAAAAAAAGCTACCTATGGAAGGTAATTTAAGAAAGGAGGTAGATGGGAGAATTCCTTTATTTTTATTTATTTACTTATTTTTTTTGGTCAGTCATGGGGCTTGAACTCTGGGCCTGGGCACTGTCCCTCAGCTCTTCAGCTCAAGGCTAGTGCTCTACCACTTGAGCCACAGTGCCACTTCCAGCTGTTTCTATTTATGTGGTGCTGAGGAATCGAGCCCAGGGCCTCATGCATGCAAGGCAAGTGCTCTACCACTGAGCCACCTTCCCAGCCCTGAGAATTATTTTCTTTAATTCCCATTCTTGCTGTGGAAGACTGATATTCTTACTGTATTTCCAATGCACCAATATTTTAAAACATCTCATCCTTGCCACCTTCCCCTTATGTTCCATGCATTACTTAAAAGCTTTTTGGCAACTGTTAATTATACTAAACAGAAACCAGAATCTCAAGCAACAGCACAATGGAGAGCATCTCAATAAGCCAGATCTCTGCTGACCTGGCTCTTTACCCCGCTGTGCTCAGTCTGTTCTCTTTTCTTCTGCCATCGCTGTCGGGAAAGGGATGGTTCAGACTCAGAGTTGTGTGGCTGCAAACCAAGATGGATTGTGCCCTGCGTTTCCATAATATATTCATCAGCAACTTGTTCCTTAAGAACAATAAAACAAAGCAAACATATACAGAAGAATTCCAGAGAATGTGGTGGGAGGGGGGGACGGTCTGGGGGCTTGAACTCAGGGCCTGGGTGTTGTTCCTGAGCTCTTTTGCTTAAGGCTAGTGCTCTACCACTTGAGCCATAGTGCCACTTCTGGTTTTCTGGTGGTTTATTGGAGATAAGATTATCACAGACTTTCCTGCCCAGGCTGCATTGAACCGAGATCCTCAGATCTCAGCCTCCTGGGTAGCTAAGATCACAGGCTTGAGCCACTGGCACCCAGCTCCTCCAGTTAACCACTCAAAAACTGGAAGTAGAACTGTAGGTTCAAGTGGTAGAGTGCTAGCCTTGAGCAAAAGAGCTCGGGACAGTGTCCAAGCCCTTAGTTCAAGCCCCATGTCTGACAAAAAAAAACAAAAAAGCTCAATATCTCTAGTTCAAAACTACATTAAGAACTACTGCATACCCATTATGATGATGGGTATGATCAAATAAGGGATAAGAGTAGGTGTTGGTAAAGACTGTGGTAAGAGTGGAAAAAGACTGTGGAAAAAGTGCTGTTAGTAGTTGGTAGTTTTATAGTTTGGAAAATAGATTTATGGTTCCTCAAAGAGTTAAGCAGTTACCACATGACCCATAAATTCCATTCCTACATGCTTGTTTACCCAGCAGAACTGAAAAAGCACATCTATACAAAAACACAGGCCAGATATTCAAAGCACGGTTGAGCTCAGTGGTAGAGCTACCTGCCTAGCACACACATGGCCTTGTGTCTGGTATCCAGTACTACAATAACAAATAAAACACAAATTCATAACAGCATTATCCACAGTAGCCCCAAAACAGAAACAACCCAAATATCATTAACTAATGAAAAGATATATAAATTATCATGGGCACATTCAGGAGAATGCACTTGGTAATAAAAAGAATACTGGTAGATACCATGGGAAAACTTGGAAAACATGTTTAAAGCCAGACACAAAAGGTAATACATTGTATTATTCTATTTATAAGAAATGTCTAAATAGGTAAATCTATGGGGACAAATGTTACAAGGGTTGAAAAGGAGAAGGGAGAGTAAAACTGAGCATGGATTTTTTTTTTTTTGAGTGATGAAAAAAAAAAACCTTCTAAGTTTAAACTGGCACACAGAATAACTGATTTTCCTAACATGAGAAACCAGAGCAGACTTACACTTTGTAACCACACTGTCTCTGAAACTTATCTGTCTCCCAGTATATATCACTCCTAGTACTTATTACTTACCTGGTCCTTTGGCCTCTGGTCTTTATTTAGGTGCTGGAGTGGCTTCACTGGTTCATTTCCTTCCCTATGGCCATTATCAGAGCACTGTATGGGAATCAGGATTTCAGGCTGAGCCCTGTTGTCCTGTGTCTTCTCTTTCACTTGAGAAATGGTGCACTGACCTAGCTCATTAGCAGCATCTAAATGTCTTGGTTGATTCTCTTGAACTGAGCCATCATTCATTAAGTCTCTCCTTTCTGCAGGTATGATGTCAATATTTACTCTACTAATCGTAGCTAATGATTCTGTAGTCTTGCTCATGTCTGGTTTGCCAGTGTGGCCTTTTGGACTAGCAGGCGATTTCAAGGGACCAATAACCACAGGTCTCTCTTGGGACAAACAATTGTCTTCACCCTGAGCAAAACATATGTTTCCAAGTTAGCATAGCATTCCTCATAGCATATACAAAAATTAACTCAAAGTAGACTAATAGGTTCCTCAAAAAATTAAGCAAACAGAATTAGCATATATCCCAGCAATTCCTTGTGTAGGTATATATTCCAAAGAACTAAAAGCAGGAATTCAAGTAGATATGTGTCTGCCAGTGTTTCTAGAAGCATTATTCAAAATAGCTGAAAAGTGGAAAAAACCCAAATGTTCATTATCAGATGAATAAATAAAATGTGGTATACATAGACTATGCTATGAAGTAAATAAACATGAAAATATGCTAAATAAAAAAGACAGACACAAAAGGATATGCATGTGATTTTACTTATACAAAATATCTCGGACAGAACAATTCATAGAAACAGAAATTGGACATGGTTACTAGGCTCTGAAGACACGGAAAGTAAGAAGGCATTACAGCTTAGCTTAATGGGTACATAAAAGGTTTCTGGAAGGTGCTGGTGATGGTGGACCACTACATTGTGAATGTAATTAAGGACACAGGATTGCATACTTAAAAATGGTTCAAATGAAAGGCTGGGAATGTACTCAGTAGTAGAGCACCTGTCTAAAATGTGCAAAGCCATGGGTTCAAATCCTAACACACTTTTCTTTTTTTAAAAAGCAATTTTAAAAAGGTTAACCAGCTGTAGAAAAGAAATAAACAAAACATGGTTAAAATATGATCTTTATGTCACATTTATGTCTGAAATACAAAGATTGTTCAGCATACTCACCAATTAACATTACACTCCACCAGAACAGAATAAAGGGGAAAATACCACTTCACATCTTAATATAAGACAAGCCTTTCATATGAAAGGCTGCACTGAAAATTATTTAAAGAAAAAAAAAAAGCCAGGTGCTGGTGGCTCTCACTTGTAATCCTAGCTACTCAGGAGACTGAGATCTGAGGATCACAGTTCAAAGTCAGCCTAGGCAGGAACTCCATGACAGTATGATCTTGTATGTAAATGCTAACAATTCCACAAAAATAAAATGCTAGGATAAATTTAGTAAAGTAACAGAAGACAAAATCAGCATACAAAAATCAGTTGCCCTTCTTGTACTATTGTTTGCTAATGAAAACTTAGCTAATTAAGTTAATTAGCAAACTCAAGGCCCTGAGATCAAAGCCCAATATCACAAAAATAAATAATTAAATAATGTTTAAAAAATTACTTAGTTTAGCCGGGCACTAGTGGCCTATGCCTGTAATCCTAACTACTCAGGAAGCTGAGATCTGAGGATCAAGTTACAAAGCAAGTCTGAGCAGGAAAGTCTGTGATACTTTTTTCTTCAATTAACCACCAAAGAGCTAGAAGTAGAGGCAGGTAGCTCAAGCTGCAGAGCACAAGCAAAATCATGAGGGCCTGAGTTCAAATCCCAATACTGGAACACACAAACTAAAAAAATTACTTAGTTCACAGTTCTGAAGGCTGGGAAACACAACTGAGGAGGCCACATGTGGTGGGGGTCTTGTTAATTGTGGGGACTCTGCAGAGTCCCAAAGTGACACAGGAAATCACATGATGAATGGAAAATATCTAAAAGACAAAGCCAAACTGGCTTTTGTAACAGAACCTTTCTCAAAATACACCATCAACCCATTAATCCATTAATGCAGACCCAGTTTTTATAATCTAATCATGTTTCAAAGGTCCCACTTGGTCTCACTTTTTTAATGTCTCATAATAGAATTAAATTTTAACATGAATTTTGATGAGGACATTTAAACAACAGCAATGGTGCTGAGAAAACTATCTACATACAGAAAAAAAAATGAAGTTGTAGGGGCTAGGAAGGTGACTCAGTGGTAGAGTGCTTGCCTTGCACACATGAGGTCCTCGGTTTGCTTCCTCAGCACCCAGGGCCAGAGTTCAGGCCCCACAACCCACACACAAAAAAAAAAGAAGTTGTGGACCTTTCCTAACACCCTATACAAAAAAATTAACTGAAAAAGGATCAAAGATCTAAATGTTAAGGGCTAAAACCATAAAAATCTTAGAAGAAAACAGAGCAAAAGCATCACATTGGATTTAGCAGTGCTTTCTTGGATATGACACCAAAGACAGAGTTACAAAAGAAAAAACAGAAAAATAAGACTGTGAAAATTAAATTTTATATGCATCAAAAGAGACCATAAGGGGCTGGGAAGGTGGCTCAGTGGTAAGAATGCTTGCCTTGCATGCATGAGGCCCTGGGTTCGATTCCTCAGCACCACATAAGCAGAAAAAGCCGGAAGTGGCACTATGTCTCAAGTGGTAGAGCACTAAACTTGAGCTGAAGAGCTCAGGGATGGTGCCCAGACCCAGAGTTCAGGCCCCACGACCCACGACTGACCAAAATAAATAAATAAATAAATAAATAAGAGACCATAATAGGAGGGGGTAATAATGTTGGACAAGAAATGTACTCATTACCTTACTTATGTAACTGTAACCCCTCTGCATATCACCTTTACAATAAAATAAAATTTAAAAAAAGAGACCAGCTTGATAAGAAATGTACCCATTATCTTGCCCATGTAATTGTAACTCCTCTGTACAGTAGTCTCACAATAAAAAAATAAAATAAAATAAAGAGACCATAATAGGATCAAAAGGCAACCCACACAGTGGGAAAAAAACTTAAAATTCATATATCTAAGAAGTGATTGATAGTTAGAATATAGAAAACTCCAACAAAACCCTAGACAATCCAAATAAAAAATGGGAAAGGGATTTCAACAGACACTTTCCAAAGAAGATACATAAATGAGCATGAAAGAATTTTTTTTAGGGGCTGGGAATGTGGCTTAGTGGTAGAGTGCTTGTCTAACATGCATGAAGCCCTGGGTTCAAATCCTCAGTACCACATAAGCAGAAAAAGCCTAAAGTAGCACTGTGGCTCACATGGCAGAGTGCTAGCCTTGAGCCAAAAAAGCTCAGGGACAGTGCTCAGGCCCTGAATTCAAGCCCTAAGACTGGCCAAAAAGAACAAAAAAGTTTAACATCGTTAATGATTAGGGAAATACAAATAAAAACTACACTGATATCTACTTCCCAACCATTAGGATGGCTATCACAGAAAAGAAAAAAAAAAAGGTGGATACTGGTGGCTCATGCCTGTAAAATCCTAGTTACTCAGGAAGCTGAGATCTGAGGATCATGGTTCAAAGGCAAAAAAGACCAGGCAAAAAGACTCTTACCTCCAATTAACTACCAAAAAAAAAGCCAGAAGTGGAGCTGTGGCTGAAGAGGTACAGTGCTAACCCTGAGCAAAAAAAGCTTGGGGACAGCACCTATGTCCTGAGTTCAAGCCCCAGGACCAGCACACATACATACACACACCAAAAACAAAGAAAAGAAACAGAGAAGGGGACCAGTGTGAGGAAAGCGAATAAGGGCAGATAATGGGAAAACGAGTATTATCAAAGTACATTATATACATGTATGATACTGTCATAATGAAACTATTATTTGGACAATATATGTTAATAAAAAATAAGACCAAAACATAACAAGTGTTGGTGACTGTAAGAGGACAGAACTGCTGGGAAAACAACATGAGACTCCTCAAAAAGTTAAACTTAGAATTATCCATTTAACCCAGCAATCCCATTCCTAAGTATAAATCCCTAAGAACTGAAAATGGGTATTCAAACACAGGCACATATATGTGCACAGCAATTCCCAATGTTTACCAATAGGTGAATGGATCTACATGTAGCATATATGTGTGTTATACACATATAATGGACTAATAATATATATATGGCACATAAATATATATATATATGCTACACACATATAATGGACTAATAGTCAGGCCTAGAAAGAACTGAGATATTGATATATTCTTCATGGAGGAACCTTCAAAACACAATAAGACAAGCCAGATATAAACAGTGACATTATATGACTCCATTTGGGTGAAATATCCAGAATAGGTACATCCCTGAAACAGAAAACACATTGGCGGCTGCCAGGCAAGGAAGAAATGGTCAGTGACTGCTTAACATATAGGATTTCCTTTGGGCTGATGGAAACAGTTTGGAACTAGATAAGAAGTAATGGCTGTACAACACTCTGAATGTATGTAACTGTCCATTTTAAAATAGTTAATGCGATGCAAAATTCACCTAAAAAGTTACTAAGGTACTGACTTCATGCACAAGTTGACAGGCTGTGTAGATGCAGTAACTTAAAGAACCTGCCCTCACCAGTATTTTTTCTTTTTAATGCAGAAGTCATTGCACAACAGAATTTTAAATAAAGCAAAATCATTCCCTATTAGATAAGATTCTAAAACATGATCCTTTAAAAAGAAACATACCATTACATATGTCTTGGAAGCCTCAGAACAGTGGGGGGGGTGGTGGATCACGTCATGGTCTGATTCTGCCTTTCTGGAAATGACCTCAGCAACAGGTTTGGATTTAGAGTCACCATTTTTTATGTTATTTTTGGAAGTTTTTCTTTATAAAGAAGAAAAGGTTATAATCAACAGAGTGAAGATTAAGGGTTTTATATATATGTGTGAAAAATGTATGCATATATTGCACTTCCTTATAGAACTGTACCACTTGACAGATAATAGAATTTTTAAAAAAATATAGGAGGCATTTTATAAAACACATGTCAAGCTCATAAGACACAAAGAAAGCAAAAAATTATCACTGACCCCAGGAGATTTAGGAAACACTGAGAACTAAATGTGTTATGAAATCCCAGACTGAATCCTGGAACGGTAAATTATACTTTAGAGGAAAAGACTAGTGAAAGCCAAATAAAATCTGGAGTTAGGTCAGAGGCTAAAACAGAACAGATGCAGAGGCAATAGAAACTCTGCACTACTCAGCAACTTTTCTATAAGTATGAAATTATTCAAAAAGAAAAACCCTCAGATATAGAAGTACCAGGATAAGTTTTACATGTTCAGAATAAAACCACAACTGCTTCACCAATTTTGATAGTAAAAATGGTCAGTGTACATTTTCTGACTTGAGGATACATGTATATAAGAGGGCTAGCAATGTAGCATAGTGGTAGTGTGTGCCTAGCATGCATGAAACCCTGGGTTCAATTCCTCAGTACCACATAAACAGAAAAAGCCAGAAGTGGTGCTGTGGCTCAAGTGGAAGAGTGCTAGCCTTAAGCACAGAGAGACTCAGGAACAGAGCCCAGGCCCTGAGTTCAAGCCCCAGGACCAGCCAAAATAAAAAGAAAGAAAGAAAAGTATGTAGGAATAGTATCATAATCTGTCTTAGTAGCCTACACTTTTGGAAAAATTAAAGGAGAGCACGAAGATCAGACTAATGGAAGAACAAAGGTCTGTTCGAAAATTATAAACAATGTGAACAAAATGATGGTCCTTATGAAGCCACGGTTGTACCTGCCTGAAAGCCAGCAATTTCAAAGTTGAAATGTCTTACCTCAAAAAAAAACAAAAAATACACAGCAGCTGATCCTTCAGCACATATTAGTGGAAGCAGCTGGCCATAGAGGCCTGGCTCCCGATGCCCTGAGAGGCCCCATGCTGACAAATTTTTAAAAAAAAGACTTTTTCCTAGACAAAGCAGGTATCCTAGATTAAGATACACCATGTAATTCATTGCTTTGAAGCTAATTCCTCTTTCCACTCCTTTATACTTATCTTCTATTTACAAAGCCATACTTTTTGAAATTGAGCATATGAGAATTCCTAGAATTTCCAAATGTGGAAAAAATAATTTATTTTTCAACTTCATTTACAACTCTGAATTTTCTCTTGGCAATAGAAGCAACTCTCAAAAAAAGATGGAGCTGGGAACTGGTGGGTGGCTCACGCCTGTAATCCTAGCTACTCAGGAGGCTGAGATCTGAGGATTGAGGTTCAAAGCCAGCCTGGGCAGAAAAGTCCGTGAGACTCTTATCTCCAATAAACCCACAAGAAAACCAGAAGTAGTGCTATGGCTCAAAGTGGTAGAGTGCTACCCCTGAGCTGAAGAGCTCAGGGACAGAGCCCTGACCCAGAGTTCAAGCCCCACAATCAACAAAAACAAACAAACAAAAAATGAAGCTCAAGCACAGTATTATTGGTGGCTCATGTCTGTAATCATAGCTCCTCAGAAGGCTGGGATCGGAGGATCACTGTTTGAAGCCAGCTGGGGCAGGAAAGTCCTTGAGACTTTTACTTCCAATTGCAAAGCCAGAAATGAAGCTGTTGCTCAAGATGTAGAGTGCCAGCCTTCAGCAGAAAAAAGCTAACGGACAGTGTCCAAGCACTGAATTCAAGCCTCAATACGGGTGGAAAAAAACTACAAGCCATGTATGCTTGTGGATGTCTGTAATCCTAGTTACTAGGAAGACAGAGTTTAGGAAGATCGTAGTTCCAGATCTTTCCAGGAAAAAAAAGTGAGACCCTGTCTCAGAAAAGAAAGAAAAAAAAAACAGAGCAAAAAAGACTGGAGGTATGGCTCAATTAGTATAGTGCCTACCTAGCTAGCTAGCACAAGACCCTGAACTCAAATTCCAATACTATCAAACAAAATATGGCTTGGAGGAATGGCACAGGTGATAGAACACCTGTTTAGCATGTACTAGGCCCTATGTTCAATCCCATACTGAAAAGACAAAGAAAAGTCAGGGTCTGGTGGCTCACACTTGTGATCATTACCACTCAGGGAGGCTGAGATTTGAGGATCTTGGTTCGAAGCCAGTATACCAAGAAAATCAGTGAGACTTATCTCCAATTAACCACCAAAAAGCCAGAAGCACAGCAGTGGCTAAAGTAGAAGAGTTCCTCCCTGTCAAGCTATGCATTCAAACCTAAGTACTGCCAAAATCAAACAACTGGTGTGATCAGGGATATAGCTAAGTGGTAGGAGACGTAATCTGGTTCAGTTTTCAGGGCTGCCAAAACAAACCAGCATGTATAGTGATACCTATAATAGCACTTAGGAGGCAAAGGCAGGATAGTGGCAAGTTTTGTGCCAGCCTGGACCACATAATAAAAGAGGGAGGAAAGGAAGGAAGGAAGAAAGGAAGAAAGGAAGGAAGGAAGGGAGGGAGGGAG